GAAGAGGAGGGATAGCGCACGTGAGCACGTGAAAAGATAAAAACGAGAAAAGTTATTAACCAGAATTATTCCTCTCATAGGACATATCCTACACCCCCGCCTCACACTCTTCCCTCCAGCGGCAAAATACGCCCCTCTCGTCCGGAAACCCTAATTTACGACGTGCGCCTCACATCCTGTCCTACTTGTTGTTTATTCGTTTGTTTACCCACTTCTGTTTTTAGATCAACTTGATGAAACGCATGACGTCAGTGATTTTCAAGGTGCTTGAGAGATGCTGGGCAAGGCATACCTGCTCTCTGGTTGATATGAAAGTGAGCCATCTTTACATTAACGTGGACTATGTCTCGTGGAAGTTGGTGTTTTATTTTCCGTCATTTCCTTAGTAGCGCCATGGGGAGCGATTGAGAGATCCATGTTGCGGCGATGCGGAGGAACGCTTTGCCACTGACGTCTAATACGCGACATTCGCACCAGGACAATGTGTGTTTGATAAGGAAATAACACAGGCTGCGAAATCAAGTGGCTAAGCAACTTCAGACAGACAGACAGACAGACAGACAGACAGACAGACAGACAGACAGACAGACTGACTGACTGACTGACTGACTGACTGACTGACTGACTGAGTCACCGGCTGACTGACTTGCTGACAGACAGACAGACTGACTAACCGGCAGACAGACGGCTAAACATAAAAGATCCCGACGAATCTTTTTAGCACTGTATCACATCTTAATCACCTGCTAGCCTTTATATTTGGTCGAGGAGGCTGTAATTTTTCTTACTTCCAGGTTGAATACGGTGTTACTTCGAAAGGCGAAATTGTGCTAGCAGATGTGATCGATAACGATTCGTGGAGAGTTTGGCCACTTGGCGATCGTCGTCTTCAACTCGACAAGCAAGTCTACAGGTACTCAGAGACCGACCCATCAGTTCCGATTTCCGATAGCCGGATTACTCCCAGTTCACCCGAATTCGCGGGCATAATCTGATTAGTGATAGTTCACTCAACTCCACTGCTTCGGAGGATAGTTACCACGTTGACTGGCGTGGGTGGAAGAGGCTAACGCTTTCGTGATATTCGAACTTCAGGCACTACCTCAAAGCAGTAGGATGAGAGGAGTCGTAGGACTGGATATCTCCGACCGGCTCCGCCCACGAACCAGCGTGGACTGCACTCTAATAATTTTTAATTCGAGAACCTGTTTTTGTTCCATAATACCTCGGTGGCAACTTTATCTCTTTCACATCGACGCATCTTTGAATTTACCACCAAAAAAAAAACCCAAAATTTTTTCAGAGATATGAGGAGGTAACAGAAGGAGGGAATTGGAGCAGCGTCATATGGATTATGAGAAAGTCGTTGATTGCTAACGTCTTATTTGATAACAGGTCTGTAACACGACACTTTGCCTGCTAAGGAGCCGGTCAAGAGTTCAGATAGCGCGAAAATCGGGGCGTCGCTCCCGCGGAGCACGATGATTCGTTTATACTGCATCTCAATGACGCCACTCACCTTTCGGATCTCCTGACCCGCTCTCAAGATTTCTTAGTACGCATAACTGTTAGGTCAGTAATTTGAGCCCTGCGTTCCAGGTAATGGAGACGACCTTTCTTTTTTCAACCCCACCGCGTTGTCGCGCCCTGATCATCATGGGATCACCGACTGATCAAGCGCACTGCGAGAAAATCGCAATGGGATGTCGATCGCTCGGAATCACGCCCATTCTTCGTGTCAGCTCCGCCCACAAGGTAACTCCGCCCATAGAGTATTCTGATTGGTTGGCTCATCTAACGCTGTTGAAGACAACATGTGAAACGCTGGACATCGTCGCAGAATATGATGACGATGAGACTCCCACAATAATCATCGCCGTTGCAGGACGATCAAACGGCTTGGGACCGGTGCTTGCTGGGAATTTCACTTTACCTGTAAGTTATCCAAGAGTCAATCTGAATGGTGGTGATGATGAAGAATCGTGCAGGTAATCAACTGCCCACCTTTAACCGATGACAATATGACGAACGATATCTGGTCATCATTGAGAATGCCTTCCGGATTGGGATGTTCAACTGTTCTTGGAGCAGATGAAGCGGCCTTATGTGCTGCTAAGGTGAGTTCTACAGTTATTACGCTTGGAGGGGCATTTCGGCTTGGAGGGGGCTTTTTGCGATTTCGCTGCTTCCTGTTGTCGCGTTCATTGCTTTACAAGTGTTGACAAGCAGTCTCTAAAACTTTACTGGTATCATTTGATGGCTTAACAAGGCACTTCATGACTTCACAAGATTTCAGAGACCTGCACTTAATAGCTCGACACGACGATGGGAAGTAGCAAAGAGGCGAATTGCCCCCCCCCCCTCTCCTAGCTGAATTGAGCCACACTGCCATTGTAATTTTGTACTTTGTCACATTGTCTTTCAGCAAATGGCTCGGTATGATCACATGGTATTCGGCAGGATCCTTGCAATGCAGCTGAACAATGCTATTAAACTTTTGGTGAGTGAAGCATGACTTCATAATGGTGAGGACTGCGTAAAGCCGTAAGGCACTATAGTTTGGTACCCGGCCTATAATCGTAGCAAGGGTGCTATGTCGTGGGGAAAATGGCGAAGCCGAAGTGAAATGGCTGCAAAAATACAGATAAAGCCTTTTTCTACGACAAAGAAGCAATTTCGGTGGAGTTCGCCGTTGGCATCCGTGCCATAACCGGCCTACTGTAAGGTAAGCTGCATGGCATTAGCCCACATAATCCATGCCAGGGGCCGCGTCTGTTTCATATCTTTTCATTTGCTTCGTATTTATACTTTGCCAAAGTAAGGCGACACGACGATTAGGCATCTGTCGGATATTTGTGGGCGGGCGAGCGCTTTGGGCGGGGCCGGTATATTGCTCATTGTCGGTACCTTCCACGAAAAAAGCGCTATGCGCGCCTCCTGAGCGGCGCCGAATTCTGTCCTGCTAGGTGTACTAATCCTGTACGTCTCAGGGGTTTATCGTGGCCATATTGTCTTAGAGGCACAGGCTCGCGACCCAGCAGATTGCGGACAAACGGAATACGAACGGAAAAGTGTTAAGTATCTGATTAGCGGAGAAAAGCAGCAGAAAAAGCAGTCCGAAATGTTATGGAGAGAGATAGCATAGTGGCTACTAGCTAGTAGCTAGCAGCCGGTGGGGGTCGGCATGGGCCTAAGGGGTGTCCATGGGCCTAATTAGTCAGCTTTTAGCGGAGTTCTTGCCGATTTTCTTATTTTGGAAGTAGTAGCTGCAGCCATCACACAATCGTCTCCGCGGGATGAGTCGACACATTTGAGAGTGCATATGCCTTCTATTTTATCGCGGTAAAGTGCATTTAAGGCGTACCGCTGAATGTTGGGAGGCTGTCAAAGTTTTTATTGGCCAATTAGGTGAAGACACCTGCCAGTGTCGCCTTCTTCTTCGGGGAGTTTCATCTTCTTTGGCCGATAAGAAAGAGGGCGAGTTGCCTTTGTTGACGCGTCTTCTGCTGCGTGTCTCCACCCATTCGACTGAGCGTGCACTGTGGCGTTAGAGCTGCGTTCTCTTCGGCAAACTTGAACCATTCAGTAGCGCCGATTGGGCTTTACAAACTGCGTGCGCTTTAATGCTTTGTTGACTGCCTGCGCAATTGATCAAGTTGATACTTTGGCGATGAAACTCCCCTCGCAACTCTGCAATGCCCGCCAATGATTTAGTGGCGCGGAGCCGCGACCAGTCCATCTGCGCGGATAAATTGCTTGAGTCGCAAAGCATCGATCGCAGCCTAAAGGGAACAAAAAACTTTTCGATTCAAACTGAATAAAGCTTATCGCGAGTCAAAGAAGGAATTGCTAGTCTAAAGGGACACTAAGGAAAGGGCATCCTTATCTCAAGGTCCTTGTCGTGAACTTTCAGGAGAATCTGTCATACGGTACATTTGAACACGTCCATCGTCAGGTGCCGTGCTGCTACTATACTGTTAGTGCTCGGCTTGGAGGGGCATTTTGCGCCTTCGCTAGTTTATTTTGTTTGTATGAGTCAGTAAATGTGGTGGAGGTGGTGTAGTGGCAAAAAGCACGCTTACACCGGTCCAGAAATTAAACCCTCGGAGGCCTTCCCTCTCAGGCGAACCAAGGCATCCTCCCCTCCCGGGACGGTCAAACTGGCACCAAATTTGTCTAGGAGGCAAAATAATGACTGGCTACCTTCACATGCCTCCGCAAGTTACTGTTAAAGAATCACATAGCTATTCTAAGCCCACCACGATTCTGAATGGATGTACAACGTGCGCTGCATTTCTAAAAAAAGGATTGTCAGGGAGCTTATGATCTTTATCCCTTATGTCAGCTAAATAAGTAAAACACCGAACTCTTGGAATGATAAAAGGGAAGTCGTCTGGTATCCCCTCGCTTCGCCCAACCAAGCTAAAACTGCGCTGATTCTTCTGATAGCTTGTTTTTCATCGTTGTCTCAAGAGAATTGTTCATTTCAGAAAGCTGACAAGAGTGGCGTCTGATGTCAAGCCTTGGAACTCTCAGCTGTTTCCTTTGCTTACTTCAGTTGTTGATTTAGTTGTTGTTTTTTTTAAAATTTTTTGTTGATATCTTTTTCTGAATTTTTTTGTTTGATTAAAAAAAATAAACGATTATTTTCATAATCTTAACGGATTTCCCGATTTTCCGCTCGTTTTTTTCTGTTTTCGCAGAAAAGGACGCCCCTTCGAAATGAACCCACCATTCATTGAAGTAGGAGTCGAAGCATGACGGAGGTTGAAGGTAGTGGTGAAGGAGGTGTAAGAAAGCAGTTGTGCACTGTAGAAATATTGAATCTGTCCGCGGCTGACTAGGGGAAGGCTTTGGGTAGCAAAATAGAACGGGGCCACAGCCAAAAGTTAAAAAATTCCTGAATGCCACATACCGATCCCCCTGCCCTCTCCCCATGCCAAATGACAGATAGCAGTCGGCGCGTCTCTTGGGAAATTCCACAACCAATGATGAGGGTTTGAGTTGAGGCGTAACTATGAGTAATGAGCATCCGAAAACACTGACCTATCTAGTTTATAGGCGATCTATTTCGTGCTCCTCACACGCCCACTCGATTGCAGAGATAGTGAATTTAGCTTGCTGTCTTCAAGTATTCCGTGTTGCGGATTACTAACGTCTTACATCCCCGTTGCTGGGCGCAGTTTGGCGATGGGGGGGGGGGAGGGCATAATGCACTTTCGCTACTTCACTAACTCCAGTTTACGAGTCTCACTGTGGTAGCTTGTGAAATCTTGTGAACTGGGAAAAGCTCGTCGAGCCCCCATGGTACAACTGTCAACCTCCGGTATGCTCATGAATTGGCTTCTCTAGATTAAGTCAACACGATAGGTGAGAGGTTAGTAAAAATGGCGAAAAGCCTGCCCCACCCCGCCCGCCCCCCGACCGCTCACTATCCCCTTCTGTATGTACAGAAGGCTATCAAAGTTGAAGGAAGCACACAAAATCACTTGAAATATTCACTACGCATGCTCAATATTTCATAAAATGACTTCTTCCAGTTCTGGCGCCTTTAAAGATAATACTATTTGCACACGAATATATGTAAACATGTTTATTTCCAAGTACATCTGTTGACATTCACAAATAATCTGTTGTTTACAAATAATGCCCAAAATGTTTATAAATAATTGCATTGTTCATCAAATATATCACTGAAAAATAATCAGCTCAAAAAAGGTTCACAATGATCCTATCCTCAGGAAATCGGAAGGAAGAGCTCTAGTTATGATCATATTTTCTATCTCCCTAAGAATGACTGGAGAAAGGCAAAACACCCGAATAAATAGGAGCAGCTGCGCCACCCACTATGGGCGGGACTTTCGTCCAAAAGATTGACCCCGTTTATTGGCTTTCTCCTTGTTCATACGACAAATTCCACGATAGCCGGGTGGATGGAGCCTCACAACTATTTTGCCTTCCTCATTTCTCTGATGCAATAAAATAGAGGAAGGCAAAACGGTCGTGAGTTTTCGCATGGAGCTGCATGTTTAGGATAGGAGGCGGGATAGAGTAATTCAGAATTGCACGTGAAAATCAAGCACGTAGGATCCGCGATTGCACAAAACACTCCTCAGTTACTGCTTAGATAGCGTTCACACTTCGCGTCAACGCGCTATAATTGCAACGACCCCCTAATGCTGTAAATGGAAACGCAGCCAAAGTTTGTATCGATTGCCGCCGGTCGCTATTGCTTTGAGAGAGTACGGGAGAACAGGAGGGTACGCGTTGCGTAAGCGCCCAGTCTGCTGTCGATCGGCATCGGCCCGCGCGCAAGAGTGCAGGCTACTGATTAAACATCCATCAGGCAGTTAGTTCAAAAGACGTACTACACAGGCTAGGAAACCGGGTATGTGACAAGAGGATCGTAATTCGCCGCGTTGGTGGGCGTCGCGTGCGACGTTGCGCTCGCAAATAACGATGGTTCCAGGTTGAGGATGGCACAAAAAGCAGATCAGAACCTCAAATGTGTACGATTACGGGGTCTACGTGAATTCCGGTGCTCCAATTGACAGGTTAACACGAGTTAAGAAACTGTCGCGCCCGTCGCCGCGCGCGGCGGAGCGGCAAATTACGATCCTCTTTACGATCCTCTTGCCCGTCTTCCTAGGAAACCCACTCCAAATCTGGACAACAAAACAGGCTTACGATATGTGCGATTTTGTGCGATCACGGGAACAACACACTAAATTTCACGCTCGATTTTCGGGGTGCTATACCACCTGCCTTCCGCATGGGGATGTGCGAAATGTCGGTGTGAGTACGAGCC